CTTCTAGCTTTTACAGATCTTAATTTGATCAACTAAATCGTCTGTAATCGCTTACGTAAGAATCACTAAGTGGAACTCTATTTCTATTTGATTCGCATTCGTCAGATGTTGACATCATCATGACGTCTGCACCCTTATTTTCCTTTTTTGTGAATTTTAAATATATTTCATTTTCATTTCTTAGTATAAAATTCATAAAAAATTATATTCTTTGAGGAAAATTTTGAATAAGTATCTAATATTGCATTACATCCCTATTTTTATTAAATTATCACTATTTTTAGAAGTTTTGTTGAATTATAATTGATATATTTTTTAAAAATATTTCTAAATATCTAAAAATTAGTATTTTCTAGTTTTATAAATTTTAAATTTACGTGATTTACTATACAACGACTAAGTCACGTCATTTACCTTTCCAACTTTCTTATTAGAGTAACTTAAAAATAATTATAAAACAAAAAATATCTTTATATATATAAACATATTATTAAAAATATTAATTAAAAAATATTAGTCAATTCACCACCTCCTTTGATTTGTCTTACTTAGTAAAATAGAGAGGAATAATTAGTATTAGAGCTAACTTAGATATTGCACAAATATTAATGAGTAGATCACATGGCTAAGAATTCCATGAGCTAGGCTTTTGAAAGACAATTCATCACTCTATCTCTACTTTTAATTGATCAAATTACTTCGATTGAAAAATAAAATGATCTTTTTCATTTAATCATATAATCCATAGATGTATTAAGTTTAATTTAAAAAGATCATTACAAGGAGGATGTATATAAACACTAAAAACTCTTCAATTGTAAACTTATAAAAACATTAAATTATGATGTCAATGTAAATAAAATCTAGATGATTCTATTGAAAATGGAGAAACTACCTTTGTCATAGAGGATAAAGGGGAGAATGGCATAAACCACCTCACTCATTCATTCACCCTAAATATCCCTTAAAAAAAGACAAACCCTCCGTGCACTTTCCCATAATGCTCTTAGTTTTTTACAATATCACACATATATCTTCTAACAATATTACACTTAATAGTAGTAATGTAGAATGTGGGAGACTTAGATAACTAGATTGAGGATGTTAGATGGATTCAAGACAAAGGATGATGAACTGAGGAGGATGGCTGACTAAAGAGGACATGAGAAAGAGGACATGGCTGACTAAGGACATGTTAGATGGCAAACTAGGTGCGAATTAAGGTGGACTGTAACAATACCTGAAAAATGACTAAATAGGCTAAAAATACTCATGAGAGGCAGAAGGGCTTGTTGGAAAGACACGGGACAGAAGAAGGAACCCTTTCAAGACAAAGATACTCGATAGAGGAATAAACCCTTACCAGGCAAAGATACTTGGCAAAGGTGGAAGGCCTCACTAAAAAGATACTCAGTAGAGGTGGATGACTTTGTCGGAAAAATACTCAGTAGAGTTAAAAAACCTTGCTGAAAAAATGCTTGATAGAGATGGAAGACCTTGTCGAACAAAGAGAAGTTTGAAACCCTAACCTATAACCTATATGTCACCAGATGTTAGTGGTGGTGGCGTCGATGGTCTCCTAAACAAGCGACATTGAATAAAACCAACATGGAATAGAGCTGGTAGTAGCAACAATGGTGGAGGTGATGGCAGAAGTCGATGAAAGTTGACTAAAAGCTAGTAAAATGAACTTGGCTTTTATACCATGTTGAAAATGGAGAAACAACCTTTGTCAAAGTACAAAGGGGAGAATGGCAAGAATCACCTCACTCATTCATTCACCTCAATATCTCTTAAAAAATGACAAATGCTAGATGCACTTTCCCATAATGTCCTTAATCATTTACAATATTACAGTTATATCTTCAAATAGATTCAACAATGAAAAATAACTTAGGAGATTTGAGAAAAACTAGAGGTCATATATGATTGTACATCACAATTAAAAGACATCAAGATATATGAAATAGTAGAAAATAAATGTATTGGAGATTTATTCAATAGATTCACTAAAATATTAAACACTCTAAAAGGACTAAGGAGGTCTTTCATAAGCTTTGAGTCAAATAGAGGAATCCTTAAATCTATTACAATGAAATGGAAACCAAAAAAGTAGTCATTGAAGAAACTAAATATTTGAGGTAGGTAACTTTAGATGAATTTGTGAGGTCTTTATTTACTTATGAATTAGGATTATTTAAATAAAATGAAGAAATTGAATAAGCAATGAAGAGTCTTGTTCTTAAGTGAAAAACAATTTTGGTGAATTAAGCCCTGAATAAACTATATCTCTTCTCTCTAAATAGTTCAGAGTAATTTTGAATAAAATAAAGAAAGACAAATCTAAGAGTATATAAACATTCCTATAAATTATAACAAAAGAAAGGAAGTTCGGTATGAATGTAACATACTAGGTCAGTTCAATTCAATTGACTAATGAGTTTACTAAATTACTTTTATAAAAAAATTAGAAGTATTTCTAAAGATGCAGGCATTAGTTCACAAGATCTAATATTTTAAACATGTTACTGCAAATATTTAACATTACCATTCCACTATAAATATTTTATTTTTGACTATTACTTAGTTATGCAAGTACATGTACACTCTAGCATGTCTTTCTTCTGTTTGTGTTTTATCCTTAGATCAATCTGCATCTCATCTACAATGATGACTCCATTCCCTATTTTTGATCTTGTTTCACCAAGCTTGACAATAGATTCACTTAAATTTTGATTGAAAACTTTCTTCACATACGTCATTGTTCCTCACCCTCTTTTAATCTCGAACATGATCAAGAAATTCTTTTACATGACTATACTTCCATTCAAATTCTTATGGGATTATGCTCTAATCTATTTAAACATCTCTAAAATTTTGACTTAATATCTTTAGTCATGACAATATGTGACATCTATGAATTCAACCTCATATAGCAAATAAAATTTGAATAGTCAGCACTGATCTCTCTACTATCTTGAGAGTGATACTAACAGTTTTTTCAAAGAAATAAATTACAATTAGAGAGATCTTTGAAGTTTTGTCAAATGGCATGAACACAATGAGTCACTTTAGAATAAGCTGAAATAACATAATGTTTGATTTGATTGAAGTGCCAATGTCTTCTACATTTGGTTAGTTTGTTGACATGAAAAGAAGAATAAAAATCAAGCATAATTCAACATTCTCTTTACTAAACTGTTAGTTGCTCCTTAGGTTAATGTCAATGATGGTCAATATTCAATCAGAAATTCTTCTTTATTTGTGTGGAAAAAACTTGTCATTAAATCTTGGTTTAGTCATTGAACGAAGTTAACCTCTATAATCAAAGGTGGGTATCATAGAGCCATGAATATAGAAGAAAATTTCAAAGTACAATTCTATGTGAGTTGAACTTAGTAATTAGTGGTTGTGATTACTAAATGGTTCGTTCAATGGAACCCAAGGACAAGGTTCATTGACGAGTGGATTAGACAAAGGAACAAAGCATTATAATTTTTTTTGGGTATTTTATATTTATATTTAGAAAATTATCAGAATTTATGATAAATTTTTTTAGAACCCATTAAGAAAAAATAGATTAGATAAATCTGACCATCCTTTATTGATCTAAGTGACCTAAAATCTAATAGAATATGTTTGAGAAATACTAGGTTCTTTGTCATAGATATAATTGATTTATTATCATAATAAATTTATATTGGTAAAGATTGAGGCATGTTGATAGCTTTTAACATCATTTACATCTTATATTATTTGTTGTAATGTCCATGAGACAACACTTAAACCAAGGTTGAGAATGAATCCACTAACTATCTTTCTAACATCTATAGAGACTACTCAATCATTGGCAATAAAACTATGAAATTTAAAATTAAAATATGTGGAAAAATTATTTCATAATTGATGATTTATTTAATATATATATATATATATTTGTGCCAAGATGACATTTTTAATATTTCAAAATAGCCTAAACTATACAAAAATACCCTTAACAAGCTGAATTATATTTTAATATGTTAGAAAATAAAAATAAAAATTAGAAAATTCATGATGACATATTATAGCAATAGTTTGATCTTATGAAGTTTGATTGTAGTTATGCAAAAGTGAGTTGTGAGATGAAGGTAGTAAAACTTGGTAGGTGGATATATGTAACAAAAGGTTGAACCAGAATAAATCTATGTTGATCTCTCTTTCCTATTTAGTAGGTCTACATAATCCTAAGTTTTCATTCTCATTTCCAAATGAAGCACAACTGGTCTTTTATGTAAGTCCTGATGCTTACATAGTGGGCTGGATCAATCTTAGTTAATAACGGGCTGAATTACTCCAATTCTTAATGAGAGAAAAAGGGTAAATGAAAAATAAAATTACAAAGGGCCTAAATGGGCCAAACAAGCCCAAACGATATTGGCCCAAACATAGAGATTGAAGTAAGATGGAAGATCAATTCCTGTAGATCAGCTCAATTTAATCACTCTTGTGTGTGCCAATGAAACTTAAGCTATGTACTTAGTATATAAAGAATTGTATTGGAAACACTTAAAAGTAAAAAATATTTAAAGAGTTAATTCACCCCTCCTTTTAGTATTCTTAGCCCACTTTGAGGCAACCATTATGCTAGTAGGATGAGATTTGATATTTATCCTACTGAAGGCAACTCACAAGTAGATTTGAGACTAGTGTCCTACTGTGTTGAGATAAATCAAAGGCTATTCACTGAATAATGATTTATAAAATATTTTCAAATATTTTTAAGGCCACCGAGACGTTGATTAAATATGATGCGTACATGAAGACTACAACACAATTATCGCTAAACTTTGTTTTACGCACTAGGGACTAGCCTTACACTCAATTTATTGGCAAGTTCGCTTTTTTTCTTCTAGTAAACAAGAGATAATGCGTTTCTACTACACTTTAAAAACAAATAATTGGAGATAATAGATCATCGAACGGCCTGGGAAAGGATGATAGATATTTATCCATCTGGATCACGACTCGGAGCCGGACGAATGGACCTTGGCGAGGAAACCCTTGAGGCACCGGTTGTAGACGCAGGGGCGTTCGAGGTGCACTAGGTGTCCCGCCTTGCTTATGCTATGCACCGCCGCCTTCTCTCCCAGTTTCCTGCGTTGCGTCAACAACAAAGGCAGACGCACCGGTCACCAATCACTTGGCACACATTTTAGAAGATCGCGTCAGATATACTTTCTTTCTCTGTCTCTCCGTTTGCCTGTCTGTCTGTCCGTCTCTCTCTCTCTCTCTGAGGTGACGATGTATGTACTGTGCACTATGTGTGAGCTAGGGCAGATACATATAAGCATGGAAGCTGAAACATAGAAAGAGGGGTGTCAATGAGAGCGACTCACTCTTTCATGTCCTGGGCGAGTTCAATTTTGAAGATCCTGTCGTTCTCACCCCACAGTAGAAGTATGTGCTGTTATTCGCGAAGACACATGTTTCATATGGTTTCGTTGGGCATCAATTGAAGAGGAGAACAAGCAGTGAACGAAAACGCAAGGGTCTACATGAAATTCAGACATGAAGATTAGGCAAAGAGACCTGGGGCAAGTTGGCGGGAAGGGTGAACTCCCTATTGCTGTCCTCGAGTCCCTCCAGCAGTTCCTCCCTTTCCTTCCTGTTACTGAACATCACCTACACAATAATGTCCCCACAGAGGATCACCCCAAAGTCCAGGAGAAGCGGCAGAACTGATTAGGCCCATCATAGCAACAGAAAATTGGAACGTCGTGGGTCTCCTGCAGCTAACCAGAGAAAAGCCATGAGTGAGCGGCCGTACCTTAATGAAGTCCTTGTGGAGGCGGTCGGGAAACCAATACTTGCGGTAAGTTGCGACGGAGAGCAGCGCCTTGTTCCCTTTCAGTGTGTTCGGCAGTAGCAGCTCCGCCGAGGACTTGAAACCAAGCCTGGCTAGTGCCTCCTCCCCAATGCTGCTGGTCATCGCAACCACCGAGCCGGAAACCACCATAGACCGCACCATCTCCGGCCGCGCTTCTGCCAGTTTGAACGCCACCATTCCCCCATAGCTGAAGCCCACCAGTGTGCACCGCTGTACCCCCAGTAGTGCCAGGGCCCGTCCCAGGCAATCCGCCTGGAAATCTGGGGACCTTTCGGATCTCCCCGTCTTTGAGCTCCCAAAGAAGAACAGGTCCGGCACATAGACCGCATACCTCTTGGTTAGAGCGCCTACCTGGAACTGCCACGTCACGATGCCCTCCCCGGCGAACCCGTGCACCAGCACCACGGGTGGCTTTTGCTTGTCGTTCTTCTTTGGCACCCAGAAGCTCATCACGGTGCCAGGTTCCAGCTCCACCGTTCTCTGCCGCAGCCCGGCCAGCTTAGCTAGCCCGTGGACGATAGGCTTCTGCGCCTCCACCCAGTTCACCATCTCCTCTGGTTTTATGTCCACTCCTCCTCCGTGTATCGTTTCTGAGAATCAGTTCGAGCGTAGTCTGCGTCTGGTTATCGGTTTATATGAAGGGGGAGATGCCGATGATGCAGAGAGATTGAATCGAGAGGGAAATCTTGTTGCAGTCGCAACAGTTTGAGGAAAGGGACATCATGCGATATAACGAGTTAGGAGGTAAGATGTTAGATCGGGGTAGTTTGAAGGACCTCAGGTGGCGTCTTACGAGTGGCAAATAGAGATCTAAGATTTCTAGGAATACAGTAAGGTTGTTGGGTTACACCGAGCAACTAACAGATCTCTTTGTCCTTGAGAAAAAGATCGATGGACTACACCATCGAAGGTGCAGAATCCACCTCCGTCTGGTCTCTGCTCGTGAGTCCGCTGGTTGGTTCGGCCGCTCAGCCTACCCAATCCACTCAGCCTTTCCCCACCTGTTTTGCGGCCCGGGCGTTTTTTTTTGCTCTCGTTTGGTGGCATTTGGCGATCCACCTATCTGTAGATCGCTTACTGCGCTGTCTGTTCACACATTGGCCTGCCGACCCCCTTGGGACCGGTGGGAGAAGTTAAGCGACAGCGGCTCCCTCTTTGACTTTTCCACTAATACCTATGGACACGGGGAGTGTCCATTTCTTGTCCAGCTTCTTGTCCCCCAACCATTGCGTTAGGTAGGATACGGCGTCTACCACTCATTGTCGCATTAGGTAGAATACGTGTCTACCGCTCATTGTGTCAAGCTAATACGGACGGCCCAGTAAGATATTATACCAGTAAAACACGACTTCCTGCGAGCAGGAGCGGCATGGATTAATGATCAAGGAACCATCTCAACACCTGGAGAAAAGTCGTAGAGCGTCGGCGTATGATGATTCGATCGATGATCGGGGAGGTGATCCTTGCAAGCAGTTCTACACTGCGATTCTAAGTGAATTCGTAAATATCGCGCGACCCATCGTTAGAGACTCGGTCTAGTAGTCCACTGGTAAGCAGGAGAACTTGATCACAGTGCTACTTGTTAGTGAGTGTGCAGGGTGGATTCTCGAGGGCAATACAAATCTCACCTTCTTGGTTTGCTCGTGCGGGAACAGCCAGCCGAGGCACGCGCACAGCGACAAGCGACGAGAGCGGGAGAACAGGTGTTACTGAGAGTTGAGAGGGGGAGGTGGTGTTACTGTTTCCTCGTCCCCAGGTACGTGACGCTGCCGTGGAGCAGCTCCACGGGGTACTTGTCAATACAGTCATTCCAGGGATTGTCCGGAGAAGGCGTTACCGTCCGGAGGGCCTGCCAGACGGCACTGTTGCACTTGAACCCGCTCCCGAAGGCGATTTGCCATACGCGGTGCCCCCTCCGCATCCTCCTCTTGGCCTCGATGTACGCCAGCTCGTACCAGATGGAGCTGGAGGAGGTGTTGCCGAAACGGTGCAGGGTCATGCGGGAGGCCTCCACGTGGGCCGGCAGCAGCTGGAGGTTCTTCTCCAGTTCGTCGATCACCGCCCTCCCACCGGCGTGAATACAGAAGTGCTCAAAGGCCAGCTTGAAGTCGGGGATGTAAGGCTTCGCTTTGGAGCTGAATAGCTTATTTGCCACAAAAGTCGCGAAGAAGAGAAGCTGTTCGCTAATGGGAAGAACTAGAGGGCCGAGAGTGGTGATGTTGGCCTTCAGGGCGCCACCAGCGATGGCCATGACGTCCTTGGACAGGGAGACCCCCACCTTACCTCCGCCATCCTCCTCCTGGTAGACGCAGCGGAACGCCCGGTCGTCGGCGCCGCGGTGGGTGCGTACAACGTGCATCAGGCGGTACTTGGCCCTCTTGCGCTCGGCCCGGCGATTGGACAGGAGGACGGCAGCGCCGCCGACGCGAAACAGGCAGTTGGGTATGAGCATGGACTTGTGGTTGCCGAAGTACCAGTTCTGAGTTATGTTCTCCGTGCTGATGACGACGGCGTAGGTGTTGCTATGGACCTGAAGGAGGTCCTTGGCAAGGTCGAGGGCAATGACGCCGGCGCTGCAGCCCATGCCTCCCAGGCTGAAGCTGAGGATGTTCCCCCTGAGTTTGTAACGGTTGACGATCATTGCGGAGAGCGACGGCGTGGGGTTGAACAGGCTGCAGTTCACAACAAGGATACCAATGTCCCTCGCCCGGACGGCGGTGCTGCGGAAAAGAGCGTCCATGGCGCCGAACATGACCTGCTCCGTCTCCTCTCTGGCGGTGACTAGGCATATCCTCGGCGGGAGGTGGTGCATTGCTTCGGGGACGTATGTCTCATCCCCAAGACCTGAGCGCTCGAGGACCTTGACCTGAAAGTCGAAGGACGAATCGTCGAACTCGCCACAGAGCCTAGCGTGCTCCACAAACTGGTGGAAGCGGGCACGAAGATGGTCAGGTGGGCGGTAGCAGGCGTAGTCGACCAGATAGATGGGGCGGGGGCGGGTCATGTAATGAACTGTGGTGCCAAAGGCGAGAATGATGGAGCAGACGATCACGCTCACAATGTTGTACTGCAAACCGTGCCAGAGCTGTCGAAGATCGTCAGGACTTGTACGGCTGGCCTCTAAGACGACGAGGATCATAACCGGTAGAAAGAGGATGGCGACGAGGTTGGAAACGAGGTAGTGGTACCCGAGCTTCACGTACTTGAGTCTCACACTCTGAAGGAAGTCCGGCAGCCTTCGCTGGTGCCGATGGTCATCATCGTCTCCCGAGGTCACTGCGGCATCATTCTCCCGGCCATTAGTGTTGTCTGGTTGATGCATTTGGGATTTCCTTGCCGCACCCACAGCCATATTCTTAAATCCCTCGCCTTCGCCTCCCCTAGGAGGGCCCCCCGGCTGGGTTCTGAGCTCTCAGGTACTCTGGAAAGGCAGCAAGGTCTCCCTGCGTGCCAGCCAATGGATCAGCAACTTGATATGACATATTCTAATCGATTACAGAAGACAGTCATCAACCAGGCGGAAAACAAGTAGCGCAGTCACCGGAAAGCAAGTAAAGAAGATGGAACAGAAACAAATGAACGAACAAAGATGCGGGTGGCTTCCGGTGATAAGATCTGCCGTGGTTGTGGAGAAACAAATGAACGAACAAAGATGCGGGTGGCTTCTGGTGATACGATCTGCCGGCGGGTCTGCCCTGCACACAATCACGGCAGATCGTATCACCGGGTGATACGAGCTCCACTTTCCACCGAAACAAAAATGCACGATCTGCTGTGCACAAAAATGCACGAACCAAGGATGTTACGGCGTGCCGGCTGGACCGAGGACGACGGCGATGGTCGCCGTTAATACTTACTTTTCCCCAAACCTTCCCATTCCACTCCCCGACGTGGAGTCAGGTTGCTAGGATTTAATACGGAAGGCTACCCTGTAGAAGGGTGACGGGGTTAAGGAATGGACATGGGGCCTTGGATAGCGAGTGGAGTGGGAGAGCGTACCTCGGAAGATAAGATCTCAGCGCCATACGGGCAATGCCGGAAATTTATCTTCCGGTTATCCATCCACCCGCTCCCCCTCTTGCTGTCTAATTGTCGCCAGCAACAGCGGGAGGAACGAGAGACATCCCCTTCTCTACACCCCTCACTCTCGTTCTCGCTTTGTGCCCAGCTCCCCCACCGTTCCTCCCAGAACAAGTTGGAGGAGAAGGAAGCTTCCCTGGGACCACGCCTTTTCCAATCTGTAAACGCCATTCTCGAGCTTTGCATGTCCCTTGCCCTCCGTGACACCAACATCGAGCGTCGATCCTTATCGGCAACGGCACCACCGATTACTTCCATGGAAAGGAATTTATCTCTGTCAAGCCATTCATGACATTTTTCCAATAACAGTCATCGATCTGGCCAGAAGACCTAAGCCTCGGTTACGATCATGGATAATGGATCCGCGCAGGGGGCAGTGACGCGGATAAAACGACGGAATGAACAAAGTGAGAGGTGATCGGTCACTTGTTCCGTTATTTTGCACATTTATAATGCAGTTTGGATGGGGGAGGGAGCACATTTTGAATGAAACTTGCGGGCTCAGCAACTATATTCTTACCTCAATATAGTCATCATCGGGAAGAAATTTTATAAACCTCGTCAACTGATGAGCCGGTTATCCCTGGGACTGACGGCTGAACTTTGTCCTGAAGAGAAACCCTATTCTCATCATTATTTGGAAGACAAACGATCAGCACTTGAGGTTTGACTACAATCACATTCTCCCTCTTCATTTTTTCATCTCTCTTCTAATTACATTGTTTTTTAGGATATGCTGTTGTATTAAAAAAACTGCCCTACCTCCGTTATTGTAAGTGGGATGTGACATACTTGGTGATCAATGATCTAACACTCTACAAATGTCTACTTAGGGCGACCACGTTTGAACCCTCTCATAAAGGGTTGAAACCTTGGTGGCTTTAGCCTATGTGAAACCTACCCCGATTTCAACACAGTGTATACCTTATTCAATTTTGGTGATTTCATTTGAAGGTATAAATGAGATTCTAAGCTATAGAATCTTCTGCATGAAGATGTCTTGTGGATGTGATAGAATCAATCTTGCCAGCAACGTTTGAAGGTAGATGCTCTATCTAGAGCAGATTTTTTATGTTTGAACAAAATTTAGATTAGTATCATTTTTTTGACACACTGAAACAAACTCATTGAAGGATCAAAGAATTAAAACTCAACTGCCATTCCAAGATGACCTAGAATGAGATTAATTTTAGACTTCTTCAGAGGAAGAGCACCACTTCAAGAAATGAGGCCTAAACGTGCTGAACCATGCTGCTCAAAAATTTGAAAGTATAAACACAAAGGCTTGAAGGCCCGAAATGTGTTCAGGACCTAGTAGGCTTAGGAACCAACACTTGTTTTCTAGTTTCTCCATTATGTGAGTGTGTGGTTTTATTTTGCACAAAAAAAAACTTTTTAGGATGATGAGTGAATGTACTCTTGACAGTTTTTACTTCTTCTTTTTTATTATTTCTTGGCAACCTAGTCCTTGCCTAAGTTAGCCAAGACCTTCTCAAAGCAGGCCAGCCTTCTGGCTCTGGAGCAGTAGCTTCTCTCTAGCTTTCTTACTGTCTTTCTGCTTTTAGGTTAGTCTAACTAGCAGCTTTACTAGCTGTTCTTCTAACTGGCAGCAACACAGCTCCCTAACTGCCAGTTTAACATATTTGTGCTAGTTTTCTAATTGTGAGTTTATTTTATGTTCACTAATTGCAATTTTTCTTGAAGCAGCTGTGTATAATGATTTTGAGCTTTCAAATAGAGCTTTGTTTCTTATTTCTTACATATGATTTTAAGATGATCATTCTCCACTTTAACTTCAACATTTTGTTAAGAATTCATAATTTTTAGTAGTTTTCAACTCATACCTAATTTTTGTATGTGTAGCAAGCTATTCATTTATAAATTCATGTATACCATCCTCAAAAAAGTATGAATTGTGTTCTCAACTGTGTATCTTGTCAGTCTAAGTAGTTAAGCATAAATTTTCCTTACCTTGCTTTGATCATTTGGATCTGCTGAGGAAAGCAAGGATCAAAGGAAAGAAAGTTATCTTAATTGATCCATGTAGCAACCATGATCTTTTATCCTTTGGTTTGTTCTTTCTCTTCATCATGATAGGATAATCTACCCTAACATGTCATATTTTATTTTATCAGTTAAGGTTTAAAAGGTGAAGATTTACACAATCTCTTACCAGCCTGATGTGATCCCCTACCAACCTAAATTTCCCAAATAAAAAAAAAGTGCAATCTCATCTTTGCCGCTTTCACTAAAGGAGAAACACATTTCTTCTGATTTAAATGCAAGAGGCTTCTCAGCTACTTTTCTAAGGATTCAACAATCTTGCTCAATCTAATTAATTTGTAAATAAGGATCCCATGAGCTCATCTAGTGTTCCTTTGGACAAGTCTTTTGCTTCCTCAATAGTTGTAGCCTTCAATCACCGATTGATTTATTTTTGACTCCTTTACTTGTGAAGTTAATCCATAGGTTATTTTAAGTTCATGTCAATTTTTTTTGTTATATGCAAACTTGAAAATGATTAATTCACATCAAAAGTAGAAAATGGAATATAAATGACCTTGCATTTAGAGAAAGTAATTTTTCAATTTGATCCTCTAAATTCCAAGATACTAAAATCTATCCAATTTCTCCTGATTGAAAGGTCCATTTGTTACAACTTCTCGGACACTAAAATCAATGGTTTAGATATAAACTCTCATGCTTTTTCCAGTATCTATAATTTCTTCGATTGGATATATGAGGTCTTGGCATACAATGTCTTACAAAATTATTTCTTGAAGAGCTCATCATAGGATGTATTCATTTTTAAATCCTATAAAAGGTTTTGGCTCTAATTATAGGTTCCCTAATAGGCGGGGGGCTTGATTTACCCTAATCGTTGTAATAGGACCAAACATAATTATATGGATATATATATATATCTTATTTACTTAATTCCTCAAATATATACATATATTCCTTTGATATTAGTGTATAATAGAATTCAAGTTGATTTCCTTAGAGATGGTCAGAAAATAGTGGTGATTAATTATTTTGTATTCTAGATTGATTCAACAAACAAGATAAAAGAATAATGGAGTTTCCTCCACAGTTTGCAGCTGTGCTTTCAAAAATTAGTCCACATGTTCATTGAAAATAACTTCCTTTCCTTTGATCCTTGTGTCACCCAAGGATCAGTGGAATAAAAATATGAGCTAAAATGAAGGTATCGAAAAATAAAAAGTTAAGAAAAACTATTAGAAGTTCAAGACATATTCATTTTAACTCATTTATGACTGAATTAAAGACATATTTTGCAGAATAATTAAGCAAAATTTAACAAATAATGCTATGAGAATAGGGTGTTATCATGGGTTGAATTGATTTCCTAGTATGGTCTAATATTAATAATTTTAAAAAATAATTTTAAGCTATTTCAGTGAATTTCAACTTTAATGGGTTGATAGAACTTGTAATGGACTGATGTAGCATTTTATATGTCAACATATTGGCTGACTAAATTAGGTAGGCACACTTGGTACACATACTAAGTTTAAGAATTTGTAGAATAAAAGAATTTATAGTGGTTCAACTTTCCATAGCTTACATCCACTTTCCAAATAGTTTGTTCCCTTGGTTTAAGATATTCTCCTTTGGAGAATTACAATTGAACTTCACTAGATTAATAATCCCCTTTTACATGATAGATTGTACGGGTCTATCTTACTACATTAGATACCTAGACACTAGTCTTTCTATCTACCATCATTATAAGTACTCTCCAGAGTATCTTCAAGTATAAAATGAAGTGTTACAGTAATAATGATCTTCAGATGTTGAGAGGTAGCTTCCTTATGATATAGGTAGTTTGAGCAAATGAGGAAGCTTGAGTGTGCAAGAGCTTGTGCCAAAATTTTCACATGCGAACTTAAATGATGAAGATGATGAGATTTTCTATTGTTGAGGTGTTCCTTAAAAATTCTTACAAAGTGCTCTTTATGGAGCCAGAAATTTTGACCATTGGAGATCAAATTGCTGAGATAGGATTGGTTAAATATTCTCTAGGTCAACATATGGGTCAACCCATTTTGGATTGACACTACTTTTCAAAATATTTTATAGATTTTGTTATTATATTTATATAATTAATTTATGAACATCAACATTATCAAACTCATCATTAATACTACTAATTGATTTTACTTAGGTGGCACTATAAACTACAATGGTGTGGTCCTTGGTATGCTTCTTCTTTAGCTACTCAATGATTTTTGATTTCAATCACTTACACTATTATTGTTGTTTGATCAACCCCAACCTACTTCATACTCTGAGGAAAAGATCTTTAGGTTCCATTAAATTTTAGTGAAGCACACCAAATCTATACTTTAAATATGATTACTTCAACTAGCTTCCACTGAATATAAAAGCCTTAGCATGCCTAGGTGCAAAACAACTGTGACTCCAACTAACCACCACTGAAATTAAGGCCATAACAAACTGATATATTGAACACTATGACTTCAACTAGTCTCCAATATATACTAACGCCTCAAGAAGCCTATAATAGATTTCTCATCTCTAGGGAACCAAAGAATATTTTAAGAATAGTTAAATGCTCTTCCAATTCTGCTCATATCTTTCTTCACTTGATTTCTTTTCTTGAAGATGAGGAAGCATCTTACATATGGTTGAGTCATTGATGGCTTGAGCAGTGGACCAAACTTCCTTTCATTTCTTTGCTCATTGATGCAAATTTCTTACTCAAAATTTTCTGGAGGATGAACATTGAACATTGTGGCTCTCTCTTTTGATTCTATTTTTCTCTTCAAATAAACCCAAGTGTTAATTCTCTTTCTATATGCAGCATACTGGACCATCCAATGATCAAGTTGGAACAACTAAGATGGTTCACTTAGTGCCAAATCTATCCTTGAAATTTAAGCTCCATAAAACATTATTTAATATTATAAAGATAATTTCAAATTGAAATCTCTGAATTTTGAATGCTTCATTTATTGCATTGTGTTCATCTTTGGATTATGTTTCCAATAAGTATATGTTTATACCTATGAGATAAACCATCTAAATAATAGTTTAATCATTCTTGATCTAAATATAAACCATTTTACCTTTGAGAAAATTTCTCCTTATTTAACATCTTATTTCATCTATTGTGAGTTACGCTCATGTACCATAGTACCCATTTCATCATTCTAATATTACTGTCATCAAAACATTTAAGGTTACCGAAGACAACACAAAGTAGCTCATAAAACTATAAAGAACCAGTTTTCATCCAATTACAACAATTGCAATTTGGCGGTTGATAAGAAAAGGAGAAAAATGAGTTTTGAAATAAGTAATTCAGTCATGACAAAATTGCAAGGAGGAAGATCTCCAATTGGTAGTTATAATAAGTTGAAAATGAAGAAACATAGGTAATTCAAAATTTAACAAAAGATTAATAAAAATATGTATGTTATGAATTTATAAACAAAAAATAAGTTGAAAATGGGAAACTTGAGTCACCTGAAACATAAAAATGAAGAGTTAGAAGGCCTACATAAGTTCAAGCCCAAATTCAAGAAAGCAAACCCTAAAGCACATGGGTAAGGCACTGGATTTGTAATGCTAGTAACTGCTTTACTACTAAATAAAGTAACAACAGATTTTGGCATGTTTAATGTTTAGCACATTATTATTTAGGAGAGCAGCAATAGTAGGATTTTTATTCTCTTTATGAGATTTTTATTTGTTATCATATCAAGTAACCCTTGAAGATTCAAGGGTTGTTGTTTATCCTCGTGGATTTATTGGTCGTCAAAATCATTTCTTAAGAATTCCAGGACTAAGGAGTTGATGGTTGTGGATTTAATACTCCATTTACATTCTCTCTTTCGTTGCCACGTCTATAATATTTGTATGTAGGACTACTTTTGCTATCACAGATTTTCCTGCACATGGATGCCATATTTTCTAGCCATGTAGTAAAAGTAATTGGACTCCTAAAATATTGGCTAATGTTGGCTAACATCTTCCATATTGTATCATATGATAAATTAGCATGTTTACTGAAAGAGTGATTTATAATTATTTAATGACATACCTTCTTTTGTTAGGGCCGAACCATAGTGCCTAAGTCAAGATGACGCCCGCTATCCCCCATCACTTTATTCCATTATTTTGGGATTTAAAAACCTGTTACTGAGTAAAGAAATCTAGGGAAAGGCCACCTCATCCCTTCCTATTCAACACTTTCCAAGTAACCCAATTGGTTCATAGCCATCTGCACATCAGAGCATGATTTGGGTGGGAAAGGAACCCAAGAGAACTAGAACCTCCTCGTTCCTACCTAATTCATGCTGTAAGAGGCCAGGACTAGTAAAGCAAAAGGACTGGTAGGATATCATGAATGGTGAGAGGCCAAACAGATTGCTAGAAGCCATTTGTAATGCCAACATGAGACAATCCAGCCAGGATAGAATTGCTTGCACAGACAGGCCCGTCTGACAAAAAATGAAAGCGTATAAAAAGATAACTATGGCACGAAATGCAATGCAGTCATCAGGTGGAGAGATATAGGCGTGTGGGCATGGAGAAAATTGAGAAACTCACAAGAAAGCTCCATTGGCCTTTTCTCTGTCGCACCTTCTCTCCTCAGCTCCCAGCAGATATCCTGAGAACTCCACCCAAATGAAGTACAACTCCCTCACACTCATCCCTTTGAGGTGAGAGCTTGGACAAGACCTTTCAATTCATCTGATCTGATGAGTCAGTGATCATGCGCGTTTGAAATTCTCTCTTATAAATCTTTCAGCAGAAGCAGGGTACTTCATTCTGATGTACTCACGGAGGCACTTCTGATAGGAGAAGTCAATGAAGACGCCATCTGTCCGGACAACAAACAAGCATCTGGAATTTCTAAATCGAGGATGCCGGTCAACCTTCATGAGAAACGAAACAAAAAATTAGCTCAAAATATTGAAAGTAGAGCTAATCGGTAATTTTCAACTCTACAGAATCTATCAGCACTCATGGAACAAGGAGAAAAATGAAGGCAAGGATTCCCAAGGTGACAGTATGAACTGATGAGTCCAAAATTCTTTAACTACATTGATGGTTAAAACATGGGAAGATATAAGATGTGGCTGCCAGACTTCATTTTTCTAGTTGCTCTTGTTCAATCAGAGTAATGCCTGAAGTCATAGGCTTGAATGTTTAAACAATCTCATATTTCCACATGATTAACTAAAGCTTCAGAAAACACGAGCATTTAGGACCAATGAAATATACAGGTGAGCAACAACCTTGACGTAAGAACTCGATTTCCCTCCCCCACATAAAACTCGGAATTATTTAGCTTATGTAGGGTAAATTGAAAATAAGGTCTGCATAGATGAGTGGCAGCAGTAAAGATTCTTGGATTCTGCCTATGCAAGATGAATGAAGCAAGTTTAAGCGGATAATGCATGGACTTCAATTTTTGCACTAGAAATTACCTCTTGGCATAAAATGATCATTTACTAGTAAAACTAATTTAATAGGTTAGATGGTCAAGAGCAAGGGAAGTTTAGTTGCTCAACCTTCTGTTAAGGAAGAAGAGATTAATTTGGAACCTATGCACAAGTTCACTGAGAGTATATTTTTTAAATCAATTCATAAAGTCTGTAAAGAGCAAGCCCCTCATTTTTAAGATCTCCAAGTGTCAAATACCTTCTTTTAAACATAACAACCTGTTCATTAACTGAACAACTTGGCCTTTGTACAAGTAACCAACTTTTTTCACAGACGTTTCTAGAGGCAAGGGGATACCTTATTCCTAAAACAAAATGAACATTAATGTTGATTGTTTAAATTAGGTACGGATTAGTGTTCAATTTTTCTAGCTTTCTAACCACTTACGCATCTAGCTTTCACTTTGTCTAGTTTACTAAGCATCTACGAATGCAGACAAAATGGATGCCACAGTGACAGATTTTGAGAGCTTACAAAGACAGTTAGACACTCTGACACTTTGCTCGCTAATATTCAACCACCTTTAGTTGAGAAGACGGGAAATAGGAAGGACCAGGAAATCACCACACTCCCTGAATAGTTTTCTGCACTGTGTTATGCTTCCTACATCCTGTTGTGTAAGCCCAGAAGCCATTTCCCATATATTACGAGCTATTCATTCTTGTGGCACGAAACACCATGGGCAGCACGGTCCAAGTCAAATTCTAGATAAAGAAAAATCTTTACTCAGAAAGTCGCCCAACCTACAGGAGAAAGGAGATTCTGAGGTGTGGTGAAAGTACTCAGGGTGACGGCATTTACGCCATGTGATCTAGATAATTATCCATGTATGCCATGAAATGGTTATGCGTTTATAAAAGATAGAAAAGAGAGGGGGGGAAGCGTCAAAAATTGAAAGGAAAATTAAAGGACTGTTAATATGATGTTCTGTCATACAACTTGGTAATTTATCATGCATAGCTACTTGTAAGTATATAATCATCATGATTTAAATGATTTTAATGCTAGGAAACCTATGAATGAGTAGTAAGGAGGTGGTATTTTATGTGAAACGTTCCAGCTCTGATCTTAATATGTTTTGATATAAAAACAAGTTGGAAAATAAAGATGAATCGTCTGCTAGGCCCCGATGGGCCTTATTTATGCCACCAGGAGTAAGAGGGCGTGTGGGTCACATGAGGGCTAAGCAGGGGGGGTTGGTATTTAGGTAACTGTTAGGCATGGAAAAGGGAGTTATTAGGACAGGGATGGGATGAGGGAAGAGGACGAGATTTTAGGCAGGCTGTGGATTGTGGAGGAGAGAGGTGGCCCTCTTGAAAGGTCACCACGAACTGGGGTGATAAGGGTTCCTGCCGGAACCAAATCCTCCTTACTTTTGTATTTCTGTTCTGCATTTTCTATTGTTTTATGCATCCCCATTTCAGGTTCCTATCATATTCGTTGTCAACAGGACACAAATGGCCAAACTTGCAGTTATTTTGTACCTTTTGACTGTAAAAGACCTGACGTATAGGCTTCCTATCCTTTTGGGCAAATTCTGGAGTTCTATTGAGCCACAACTATCTTAAGTAGCCGCCATTCTTCTGCTTGTGACTGTCTTGTAGCTTCTTTAATTAAGAATAAAGGTAAAGAACAAGCATTTGAATTTTGGATATTGACAAGAAGTCTACAGTGAACTTGGCTTACCATAATGCAATCGATTCCACATCCAATCTTATCCTCTGAATGCGGATGGTAGACAAGAAGATTCTCGACAACTGCCTTCTCATCTTCATCAGTAAGGCGTTCCCCATCCATATACCTGGTATGATACGAAGTGTAAACTAAACGCCTTAAAATTTTATAGAATATCACACGAGTGAGAAATCGCAATCAAATACATACCATCAAAAACTAATCACTCACAGAATGGAAACATTCCTTCATTATAATTTACAAAAAAGTAATTATTCACATATTTTAATTATTCCTTAAGGCATCATAAGAAATATGCTGGATGGGGTTTGTGGTTTTTGCTTCATCTTCAGGATTATGTGTAACAGTGAGGGGATGATAGAGTGATGGTAACTGGGTTTCTCATCTTTCAACATAACGAAATATTCTTACCCCTTTTCACAAACCTTATGGGATAACGAAATACTCTTACCCCTTTTCACAAACCTTATGGGACTAAGAATGATCTTCAGAAAGAAAGAACTGACATCAATTAATGTACGATAATATAGATACTAAGGCGAGAGATGAAATGTAAATGTCCATGCGAAGCTGCCTTTAACAAGAATAGCACAATATCCAAAACTTCATTGATAGAGAAATTCTGACCCCAAGAATTTGGAGAATACAAATATTAGCACAATGTCATATCTTATGAAGAGAAATTTATTAATGCGATCCAAATAATCGTATGCACTCTGTACACTTGTATCCACCTTAAGTCCATATATTAATCCACTTCAACTTTTGAACTTCACAAATAATTACGATACTTCTTCCAAATCACTATTGTCTGGCCTTTTTAGTTGCTTTCCACATGATATTGTCTTCTACATGAAACGAAATCTGAAGTCATCAAATAGGGCCTGGTTTCTCACCATTAATACGATGGAGAAAAGTATTGATACTTTAAATAGGTTCACCATTATGAACAAATTATCCTTTCATGTTCGTCACAAATACTCTGGTCAGTAGACACATTTTATCCATGCACATCATAACTCACTCCTCATCAAGTTTTGCATTTTAACCTCAAATATAAGTACCCTTCCAAAGTAATAATTTCCTAACCACAGCCAATATTGTCAACATGGCGACAAGCACATAATCCCACTAAGATGACTTTCAATAATTTCCAGCCCCTAAGGCTCGTACCACATCAACTCTGTAGCTACATCACACTGTGATAGGTGCATACCTTAGGAGGAATGTAATCTTTTGCAAATTAGCTCCTTCAGGATCTGCACTACAGAATGCCTTTTTCAGACTCTACATTTAAGGAACTTGGTGTCCAGAAACAAGGTATTGGGAACTAGACCCAACAAGAGAAATCTGAAACTTATTTGTCAGGATATGATACAAGTGTCCATTGGTTTACCACTATGCTTACTTTATTTCACAGATAAATATATTCTTATTGAGAATTTTTTTTGGTAAAGCTATTGTCACATTAAATTTCACATTTTATAACTATATTATAGCTACATGTTTAACTTTTTAGCAAATATGAGATTTATCCTTAACATGCCACCAGACATACAAGCAAACTTTTCGCTTTTGTCAACTGTACAGCATAAATGACCCATATTTCTAAACGCTGGTTCACTTATTACTAAAGCTACAGTACTATCCTTAATAGTTACGATATAGATATCCATGTCTACTTCTTGGCAATCCTTATGGAAATAGGTTTTGTGGGAGTTCTGATCTAATGAGTCAGTAAATTCCATCAGATAAACCTAAGAAGATAGCTTTTTCCAGCCTATGTCGGCCCTAGAAATGTCTACCCATGGCCTGAACTGTGAAAATATTTTTCTCTATCATCCCTATGTCTTTAACAAGTAAAATACTTTTCAGGATTTCTACCAACTCTAAATAACCTATTCAGGTCTCTTTTACTGTGGTCTTCCATAGGATTAAATGCCAAAGGTCCTATCTAGGGGTTCTCTATTGTTGTAATTCCCACTGTTCTGGAGTTCAGAATGTTAATCGATCTAGAAAACAGGAAGTTGAACTGCTTCTTTATTTCTTCTTTTCAGTTCCTGAATTCCAGTCTTATTTTTCCTCAGTTGATCTACAGGTTCACTCTGTCACATATACTAGTTCCTATTTTCCCACCACAATTTCGTTTCCCTTCTTTCTTCTTATCCCCTGTCCTGTGCTGTGTCTATTTTTCTGACCACTAGAACATGTAGATGCACCATTCAAGGGATCATGCTGTAATTTTCAAGAAAGTAAGGCTAGGTGGCCGTGAGGGACTGCAGTTGCCAAGTCCCATACGACCTGTCCAGGTACAGGTCGACACCATCATCGGAAGCAAGTAGTGTAGAATCTTTAAATACTAAGGAATTCATTTTCTCCACAACCTCCACCAGTATTACAGCGACTTTAAAGAGAAGTTTTCTCAATCTTTTAAGTTAATTAAAACTATAGTTTATGATGTATGTATCTGACAAAAGAGAAGCAAGACTCTACAATACGACAGATTCCATTCACATAAGGAATTTCCAATAGTATTTCTAGTTCAATGGTTTCAGACCTCGAGGAGGTCCAGTATTTGTCCATAATGACCGACTTTCTCTTGATAGTAAGATGTTGACTGTAAACCAAAATTTTCCTTGCTTGAGAGTTTGAGCAAAACTCTGACCTGGACGTTCACAAATATTTTATGTATCCAGGCTAAGACAACCGTTTTTAATGTCTTGGAGTGAGCATTGAACAATATAAACTGTTATTTCTTCTATTCTTCAACTTCCCTCTCAATATTTTGATAGGAGTATCATTCCAAAGCATCTGTAGTATGAAAAATGACGTTCTTTTGTGATGACCTCTCAAGATCTAGAACAATCATAATATTGGGCAACAATGAATCAATGTTTCCTGTCAAAAAGTTTCCATAAAAGTTGACCTCGTAGACAAATACTTAATGAAAGCTAAAACAAGAGAAAATAAAGCTAATGATTATAACTAAAGCTCCTTTGAAGATGTAAATCCAAAAATCATGAAATGCGAACGGTCTATTTGATGAAATACCTATCGGTAATTAAACAGTTGACTAGAACGAATAAAATTAATGGACACAAATGTTTCATCAGAATCAGGTAGCAAGGTGTTGGAAAAGTGCTACCTAGGGAAGATTTTCGGGTGCTAAGTGTAGAATGACTTTGGATGATTCAAAACTTCCAGTTCAGTTAGCATATCTGCATCAGCATAAGCAATGTGATTTGCACCTCTAGTTTCAATGTTTCAACAGGTATTTTACAAGGATAATATGATCATCAAAGAATGACCACAGCTGGGTTTAGTGCTAAACTTCAGAAATATCCAACATTCACTAAACTATTTGTTTACACTCACAAGAGGCTGACCTCTCTTCAAATTAAGCACCGATATGGCCGTATTCCCCTAAAATTTCTTACTTTTAGAACAAAAACGTCTGCCTTGGATAAAAAAAATATACAAGCTTCCGGAGTGGTGCGTCCATATATTGAACTAAATGAATGGTGGTTCATCGGAAGAACGATGAAAACTCGCGGCTAGATGCAACTTTTCTTGTCGACTGTATTACCTTTCGGAATGGAGGATCTTCTTGGTAAGCATCCGGATTGGCTCGATATCCTTGAGGATGGCCGCCTCCTTGTCCCTGTACCGCTTGTTCTCCAAGATGTCCCCCCACAGACTCGCCAACTTCTCGGAGGACTCCCGAGACTCTCCACGTGAGGAGTCAACGGCGGTGGGGGCGGCCGTTGCGGGGTCCTCCCGCCGGGGGCGCGCAGCAGCGCCTTGGAAGAATCGTGAACGATAGGTAGTGGCGGGACGGAGTGGGAGACGAAGTACTCGGCCCGGCGTCCCAAACCCCAGACGTAGCACAGCGGCCGTGGCTGCCGCCGCAGTAGCAGCCATTGCGGAGGCTAAGGAGGGGATATGGAGGAGGGACGACGGGGGCGTCTCGCAGCGGAGTGTATCCGGGCGAAGAGAAAAAGGAGAAGGGCCATTATCTTCCCAGGGTAGTTGAGAGATTTAGGCGCGGATAAGTCGAGATCCATGTGCGAAAACATTCCCAATGTACAAGATCACCTTTGACGAAATGCTTTCATCCCTCCTGTGTTTCACCAATCCTAGGTAATAATAACTCATGATTTATCATCTTCAAAGTGCATTTATCTTATTCCATGGACTAATTGTTTAATACAAAATTTATAGAATAAATCGAGCACAATGGATCACATCAGCCTCATGTACTAATCCCTAGAAAGCTAAAGGTTTTTTTCACCGTTCTTGATGATACCCATGATCTTTTATGTGATATTTTCTTCAGAAGAAGTAACTTCTGCGACATTAATGTAAGGAAGAGTTAAGGCTATTTATTTCCCTTCTTTTCAAATTGTCATTGGCCTTGGGACTCTTAAGGTGTAATGCTTGATGGTGAGTCAAGTTAAGTAAATAATTGAGTAACTTAAACATTGTGGGATCAATATTTAATCAATTTGTTGTGTACTCATATTGATGGTGACTTTTGCTTGTCTCAAGGTAGCCTATTCGAGGAAGGTGAATTAATTAATTAATTTATATTCAAACAATCAAGGTATTTGTAGAGAATTAATCAGACACCCCAACCATGTGTCCATCCATCCTCAGGGGAAGGGGGGCACACACAAATTAAAAAAAGGAATTGGTGACCTAAAATTGGAGAAGAAAATGAACTAAAAGCATGGGCCTTTTTGGAGCTGAAACCATGGAGATATAAATTAGATTAAAAATAATTTTAATGGGTGAAAAGGGATGGAAAGCAATCACCCCATCACCAAATGCATCTTAATCACTTGTGACTCGTTATATGCAGTTGTTAATGAATGATGTCAAAAATTAATGCGCAATTAGTCTTGTTATATCCACTTTCTAGTGTTTTTCTATTACATATCTTGGCCATAAAGGACTTATTTTTGGTTCCATCGTGTTCTAAATGACCCATACGAGGACTTTTGGATAATTTCACATGCACCCAACCCCCTCCCGCCCGCCCATAGAAGGGCCTCTGGAATCTTCGACTGGTCAAGGGCTTGACCGGGATGACTCCGCCGGGGGCGGCCCATTTCGCCAGCGCCGCCTTCCACACGAGGTTAAAGCCGACGGCGTGCTTCTCGATTTCAATGGTCCCCGCGGCGTGCCGTAAGATCCGAAGCATCCTTGATCTTGACCGTTCAATGGATGTTTCCAGAGATGGTTGATCGTTGTTCCACTGTATTTTCAAGGCGTTTCCCTTTGTCATAAAGCGATACGAAACCCTAGGTGTCTACTATCCAGCATGGCCGACAATCCTTCGACGGCTCAAATCACGGCGAGGACGCGAACGATGTGACTAAACGGCCCCTGCCGGTCCAACGTGGGGAAGGGCTCGCCGTCGGGGCGGCGCGCGGCGGTTCACGTCATTAGACCATTCAGAAGCCGAACGAAGAAAAGGCAACGCTGGTAGGGAGGGGAAATAAAAAAGCCGCAACGCGCTAAGGCGGTCAGCATGAGCGAGAGAGAGATAGAGAGAGCGTCGTGGGTTGGAGGTGGGTGTGGTGGGGGCGGGCGGCGGCGGAGGAACCGTCGTGGTTCCTGCAGAAGAGGAGGGTGGGGCGGTGAGCAGAACAAAACGAGAGGAAGGAGGGAGAGCGGCGGAGGGGAATGGTTGCAGAGGTAGAGGGACCATCTTCCTAAGGAATCCTGCCGGTGACCACCACCGCCGGCGCTTCTCTTATTCTGCAACGACGAAGCTCTACGTCGTCCATTCCACCCCCTATCCTACCTGCAGAGGCTGCGATGTGTCCAGCGGCTGGGGCGATGGCTGATGGTGTGGGGAGGATCCGATTCGCGAAGCAGATGAGGTTCAGGGGTGTGCGGAAGAGGCCGTGGGGGAGGTTCGCGGCGGAGATAAGGGACCCCTGGAAGAAGACGCGCGTCTGGCTCGGCACATTCGACTCCGCGGAGGACGCAGCTCGGGCCTACGACGCCGCTGCGCGCGCCCTCCGGGGGCCCAAAGCGAAGACCAACTTCTTGGCAACGGCGGGTGCGTCGCCAGCGGGTGCCGCTGGGCCGATCCTCTCCCCCTTTGGCTTTTCTCCCCAACAGCAGCATCTCTCCTTGCAGCAGCGACGGAGATACGCACCGGTGCAGAATCCGCGGCCCCTGCCAACCACGAGCAGTCACAGTAGCACCGTAGAATCCTTCAGCGGGCCGCGGCTCTCCACCGCCGTGCCTCCGCAGCCCTCCTCCATCAGGCGATTAGCGATCCAGCAGTCCCCTTCGCCGCCCCGGGCGCTCAATGGGGACGAGTGCCACAGCGACTGCGGCTCCTCTTCCTCCGTCGTGGACGACGGAGACATCGCCTCGTCGCCGTTCCCAACGCAGCAGCCGCAGACTCCGACGCTGCCTTTCGATTTGAACCTCGTCCCGCTGGCGGAGGATGACTACCAATACACGGCTCTCCGCCTCTGATCGGGCCGCCCCCCTCTTCTGGAGACCCCAACCTCCTGAATCGGCACCCCTTCTCACACATGGTTTGTTCTAAGATTGCTCCTGATATTTCTGTTGCCGCCGGCGGTGGAGGGGAAGCAGAGGAACGATCTGGTGCAGCCGTGGCCATGATCTGCCGATGCCCTGCTCCGAAGTCCGTCGCTTCGTGCGTACCCTAATCGATGTTCTGCTCTCCTGTCTCGCGCAATCACCCGAGCTCCTGTACAGAATATGACATCGAATTCGGCGGAAGCTTCCTCCCTTCCCTGCTCCTAGCCATCAATCGTGCCGCGTTCATCCTTGTCCTCCCCCCCCTTCCCCCTCTTCCGCTGTGGAGAAACTCTGCCGGGGTACTCGCCGCCGTCCTCCGGGAACAGGAGGGGCCGCCTCCGCAATCATACCGCGAACGACCGGGGGCGCGTCTGCCACGCGTGCCCGAGACCTGGCATGCGGAGCGCAGGCGCTGGGCGGCGGGGGGCGAAATAAATGAATGCGTCGTTCCGACATGGTCACAGTGTACTCTGATGGCGTCAAAGTTAACTCAGCACGGCATGCTTGAGTTCAGGCCTCTCAGCCTCAGGAAGTGATCTCGCTTCTCACCAGAATCCATGCCACTGTGTTTTGGAAATATATCTCGCGAGGACTTGGTCGTGTCTTCGATCTCCGTCGGGGTGAATTATGATGAAGAGAAAACCATACTATACTTAGAGCTGAAGGCCCTGATACGATGATTAACAGAAAGTGAAACTTGTTAAAGAGTTGATTGTTGCTAGTGGCGGCTCTCTGGCAGCTGTTGAAGTTATTTCATGGTTTTGTTCATTGATTGGAGAGTTTTCAATTGTGACAATCCGTGGGTACTGCTTTTTGTGCTTTTACTCACATGACGATGGGTGTTTATGATAACACGAAGGATGTGCCATGGGTAAGCAATCTAGATCACACACACTAACACACATGATGATAAAGTGCATTTTGACTATGTGAACTGGTGGTTTGGACACTATTTGTAAAATATTAATTGCCTTTTATGGGGGGGGGCATAATTGAATATTCATTTTCTTTGTTGGATTCCAGATTCAAAATTTTCACATGGATTACATCTGTGGAAAACATAGAATTATGTTTAGTTATAATTTTCCAATCGAGCCATTACTCTGACTTCCTAGGGTTCTCTTTTTTATGTCCGACTCTACTTTCTCTCTCTTTTTAGTTTACTATGATCATCATTAAAAAAAAAAGGTTTGCTCAGCACTCAATGTTATGAGCCACTAGTCTAGCTTAATAGATCTTATTGTGGGAGTTTATCTCATTGTAAGTATTCTTCATGGATCCATTTTGGCAACATCAATTTATGAACGAAGAAGTTGTTCTTTATGTCATTGGCCTAAGTCATTTTATAGCCCTACTACTTGAATAACCTACATGAAATGTAGATCTGAATTGAAAGACTGGGGGATAAAAAGAGTTGACTTGGGGATTACTCAAACCATAATTTATTTACAAAAGGGTAATATACAACACATAATTTTTTGGAAAGGCACATCATTCGATTAATATTTTGAATGTCAACTTATTAAAAGGTGACTTCTGAAAGATGATAGTTCTAAGTGAGCCACAAGAGGATGGAAATTGGTTAATTTGTCTATTTTATAAGGGTTAGGGAGTAGTCTCATTTGGTTTTAGTGTGTGTAAACAAGTTGGGTTTAATCTTTTTGTTAAGAGTACTTTCAAGTAGGTTGATTGCCTTGCAAGATGAAAAACAATACTAAGGATGATTTTGCCTCATAACTATTATTCACCATATGAGAAGAATCCTAAGTGCTTATAGCCTCTATATTAAGGAATAAATATAACATAGAGATAGCACAAATTTTATAAGTTTATTGGCAAGATACTCCTTTTTTGTGGAGAATTAATTGCCAACTATTCCTGATTTGAATATAGCTTTAAATGATGAAACATGATGAAATGAATTAGTGTAGAATACTTAAAACTATTAAAGAAAAAGTCAAAACCTGTTAATTTTGGGTGGTTAAAACTTTTGAAATAGTTATCAACAATAAAAGCTATGCTAACATGGTTAAATAAATACTTCTAAATTTAATTAGAACTATCATATGTCCCAAAGATTGAATAATATACTAAGATAAATGATGTTTAGTTAACTATAATTATGATAAAAAATTAATGATTTAATGTTTTCTAACCTTAGTATTTAATGTTATAAATCTCACTATTTTTTAAGAGAAACATTCGAAGAAGGATATCTAATTCATTAATGCTTGAATATTATAATTTTATTTTATTTTTGATACATATCATCAAGTTTTAATTAAAAAACAAGAAATTCAAATATTTATACCATCACAATGAAATGAAATGCTAAACATTAATGCTTGTCTAGTAGCTCGTAATTATGAACATAAATTATATCTATCACATAGAAGAAGATTAGGGTATGTTGGCACAAAAAAATGAAAACATTATCCATAATGATTCTGGTTAGACTTTCCAAATTATATATGTGGAAGCTACACCAAGGGAAAACAAACTAAGAAAATGTAGACAAAAGTATCACATTTCAACAATGAAACCATTAGATTTTTTGCAGCTTGATTTCAACTTGAAGTTCTCTAGCATTTTCTTGGTTCAACTAAACCTGATTATAGGGTTCAACATTCTTTGAGTGATTACAATGAAACTTAATCACTATTTTACGTCACAAGAGATAAAGAAAAATATCTCTATCAATGTTTCTGGAATTAGATGTAGGCTTGTAGCTCATTTCAAAATTCGATGAAAAGGTAATCAAATTGCACTTGATTTCCTTTTCTTCTTCATGTCAGGTTTGATTTACAAGATGTTGATGAAATCAAACTAAGGAAGATTAGTTTTGACTAAAGATTTGTCTGCCAACTTGTCTTCTTGTTGTCATAACATGCTTCAGACCTTAAATAAAATTGTATGCAATTCTCTACATAAATTGTTAGAAAAAAATTTGAGATCGTAAAGTAGTCTAAGATGATTGTTCCTCTTCTTTTATGCATTGGAGAAGGGCTACATTTATGGAACAGTTTGAGTTGCCCTTCCTTTGGTTTTCCATCATTATTCAATGTTAAAATCATAAAACATAGTTAACACTTCAAATGATTGGAAACTAATACAACAATTCTTTAAGGGTTTGAATATCCTCAATATTTAAACTAATAAATCTAACTATTAAGCTTTAATGTATATATCCTAAATTAATGATTTTTAAACTGAATTGATTCAAATCACCTCGAATAAAACATGAGTACGAAGTGCCCTACTAAATTTGTATATCAATGTTTGACATCATTACTTTGGCGATATATGACATTTCAAAATCATTTTAAAATTATAGTCAGTAATATTAAAAAAATCTTAAATGCCATTTATATAGTTTAATTCAATCGATTATTTTTTTTAAAAAATGATTTAAAGTAATACTTTCAAACTGTGAACTTCTATTATATGGATTATTCACTGCAATATATTACTTCAAATGTTCAAGCAAAAATGATGTGAAAATCATTACTTTTGATCAATTGTATTTTTTAATTATTTTTGAGAGTTTCCACAACAATAAATAAAGTAATGATTTAATTCTTAGCAAATCCAGAATTCAAAACATAGTTATCAAATGCATTTATTGATTTGTGATAAGGACCCTTGAAATCATTAACATGAATTATTCGTCAATTTATAATTATTTAATTCAAGTCTGGGTCCCAAAGTTCACTCATATATGATTTATGTAATTAAAATATTAATAATAATTTCAAATATTAATTTTTTTATGTATCTTTGTTATTATCAAAACTTTTTAAGATGATTCATACACCCACAACTAATATATTTCTCTAGATTTACTTGTGTTTATTTTTTGCACAAAAATATGGAACTCAAGCATACCTTTTCAAATCAAGTAAAAGGATTCAAAATGAATTAGGACATTATATTAATAACATTAGAAGTGATCATGGAAGAGAATTTGAAATGCTAAATTCGCCAAGAAATTCTTTATGAATTAGTCAAAACCAAAAGGCTTAATATAAGATGCTTTAAATCATTTAGATGTAAATGTTTTGATGTTGAATAATAATGGAAATGATGATTGAGAAAAATATCATCCCTAGATGTAATGTAGGGATCTTTCTATGCTATTAAAAAAAGTCAAAGGTATATAGTGTTTACAAAAAGTGACTGCTAACTATAGAAGAATTTATCTATGTCAAATTCATAAAACTATAAAGGAAAAAGAAATTTAGAATTAGATATGCTAGAAGAGAAGTTGGAAATTAAGAAAGCGAATGATTGAATGCCAAAGTTTTATCCTAATATTTAAAATGAAAATTACCATTACAATGGAAATTCATAAACATTTTGGGGAAAATTTATTGGAGATTTAAAAGACAAAGTTGGGATTAGATAATCTCTTAGAATAGTTGGTGAATCCTTTTTCATTCACTTCTGAAAATCAGCCTAAACACATTGATGAGGCTTTCCTAAATGAAAATTAAATCAATATTTTCAATAAAGAGCTTGAGCAATTTGAAAGGAACGAAGTATGATATCTAGTTCCTAAAGAGACCAAATATATATTTAGAAATAAATTAAATAAAGAAGTGAAAATTGCTAGAAACAAATTTAGACCAGTAGGCAAAGGATATGGTTTAGGAGTAGAATGTAAAAAAACCTATCCTCAAGTAAAAAGATTAGATGCTATCATGTTACTAACTTTTGGATGCATTAGTAATTTTAAATTATTTGAAATCTCTGTCATAGGTGACTTCCATAAATAAAATTATAAAAGAAAGTCTTTTTATCTCAAGGTTTTGCTAATCTTGAGTAACCAAATCATGTGTTTGATTTGAGAAAATTTTTATATGGTTTATAATAAACTCATCAAGCTTGGTATAAAGCTCACTTTGATAGATAATGATTTTGTTTGAGGAATGTTGACACCAGATTATTTATAAAGACTAAAAGTGACAAACTATTAATTATTCAGATTTAGGTTGATGACATAAGATTTTGATTTAGTGATGATCTCATATGTGTACAATTTTGAATACTTATGAGTATAGAATTTGAAATGAGTATGATGGGAGAATTAATATTTTTTTCTAGGACTTCAAATAAAGTAATTAGAAAATAGAATATTCATCTCATAATATAAAAATATAGTAAATAATTTATTTTTAATATAATAGGAATAAACATATATGTTAACACGAGAGAGAAAAACTCTAGAATCCATGTAGTCTCAAAAGATAGAATACATAACTCCTATATAAGAGAGAGGAGAGATGAGAGAAAGAGATAGATAATTGACCTTAATAGGCATCGTAAGAGATGCTGGCTAGACTCTTCATGAATACGTCTGCAAGCTGATGAGATGATGTCATATGAAGAGTAGAGATAAGTCTAAACATAATCTTATCTCGAATGTAGTGTCAATTGATCTTAATGTGCTTCATACGCCCATGAAAGGTAGGATTCCAGCAATGAAGATGACGGCTTGATTGTTGTAATGCATGGGCATTGGAGAGGGAGAAGCAATGTCGAGATCATGGAAAAGCGATCGAAGCCATATCATTTTCTGCACCGTCTCAACCATGGCTTGATACTCGGATTCCGCACTAGAGCAGGACAACACCCTCTATTTTTGGGACCACCAAGTAACTAGGTTACTGCTAAGGTATGTACAATAACCCCTAGTAGACTTTCAATCACTCTCGTCACTTGCATACCTAGCGTCCAAGTAGGCTGCAATGCGGAGATGGCCGTGTCGTCGATAGATGAGCTCTTTCCTTGAGGATTGCTTGATGTAGGCGATGACTCATAGAGCTCTCTCCTAATGAACTCGTCGAGGCTCTTGTATAAACTAACTCAAGACACTAACCATGTACATGATGTTAAGATGAGTGACGATGAGATATATCAACTTGCCAACAATCGCCGATACTGGTTAACATCTTCAAGCAAGGGATATGAAGTGTCCTAGAATTGCGGGTTAGCTTCTATGAGCAAAGTTTCCGACTTACACATAAGGAGGCCTATCTCCTGAAGTATGTCGAGGACATACTTTCGCTGAGTGAGGGTGAGCTTCTCATCTTAATACGCAAACTCAATCCCAAGCAAATATCACAAAGTCCTTAAGTCATGAATGCTAAGGTGCTACTATAAGTAAGCTTTGGCAGCAACGATGTCAGCCTTATCACTTCTAGTCACAAGAATATCGTCGACATAGATTTTAAGGATGATAAGGTGGCCCTCTATCTTTTTTATGAACACGGTGGGGTCCGTAATGTAGGAGGCAAAATCGAAGGTGGTGAGTAAACCACTAAACTTGGCAAACTTAGCACATGGCCTTTGCTTGAGTGCATAAATGGCACGTTGCAAGAGACACACTTTCGATGACTCCCTCTGTTAACATACCTAAGAGATTACTCCATAAATACCTACTCCGTAAAAAAAGGCATTAGAAATATCTAACTGGTGGAGAGACCATGCCTAATTGACGGCGAGAGAGAAGAACATGTGAACAGAGTTGAGGTAGATAATAGGAGAAAACGTCTCAGTGTAGTTGATCCCATATGTTTGTGTGAAGCCTCAAGCAACCAGACGAGCTTTGTGATGAGCGATAGAGTCATCTAGGTGATACTTGATGGTAAACACCTACTTGCACGTCACAATATTGGCATCGATCGGGCGCAAAACTAAATCCCAAATCCCTTAAGCGACCAACACATCTACTTCTGAATCCATGACCGCCTTCCATGTAAGTACCTGTGCAGCCTCAACATATGACCGTGAAAGTGACTCAAAGGCCACGGAGAAGACAAAGGCACAAAAAGAGAGAGAAAGACAATCTTAGGAGACAAACTAGGAGGTGGGATGTGATAAAATGAAATCAAGGGTCATCAAAAGCCCCAAAATGTCTTGATCAAAAAATATTTATAATCATGAATTTACCAAATAAAAATACTAAAATAGGTAAGTACTATGGTAAGTTTGAGGTCAATCTATAGGGAATGGGAATTAGACGTACTTAGTTACTATTTAAATCAAACGACCATCAAAAGAGAGGCGATGGCGAATAAGAAGAATTTTTACTGTCAGAAATGGAGGAAAATAGAAAATCAATGATGTGGATGATGCTAGAGAGGTGAACACACATATAAAAGACTTGTAATGCAGAATCGAAATTATAAATCACCCTATTTTAAATCTAGGAAGACTTAACTGATTGATCATGCACGAAACACATTGAACTTGGATGAACTTACCTTGGGGCTCTATATGTCATCAAGGCCAGATGATTTCCTCTTCGAGTAGCTATTCCACGGCTCTAGACTTTGAATTCACACTTGAATCAACCAAAATGCATCCAAATCTAATGTAGAACCTCAATGTTGTTTCATGTGAGCCAACGAAATGTTGGGGCATTTGAAGTTACATTCTTCTGTCCCTAAATGGCAGCTTAAATGTGTAAGGGTTTACACGAGAGTATGAGAATACATGTGTAGGGCTATGATTAAATGAAGGCATTTCTATCTTTTTGGCCACAATAAAATTGGGCGAGAGACAATTTCTTCTCGAGTTGATCTGAAGTGATAGATTTGGAAGTTTTGTCATAGCCGTCAGATCTTCTTGAATGTTGAGATCTATTGCACCCTCAGTAAGTATGTTCCATCTACCATTGATTGTGTGGACATTCTCGATGGCATCTAACCTCCTCATTTGATGAGGCCGGGTGTCAACGCCTCAACCCTTGATTCCGTCACCTCATCTCCATAGATCATATCTCATCTGTCGAAGCATATATCAGCTTCTTAAAAACCATAAAAAGAAATCAAAAATCTCTAAAATTCTCTCATATTAATAAAAAATCAATTATGACTGTAAAACTCAAAGAAAAATTTCAAAAAATTCTCTAAAATATTAAACTTCATGAAATACCTAAAGAAATAATAAATGTCTATTTTTAATATGATGACATATTATATTATAAGATTTAAGCTCTTTAATAAAATAATCAACATGTTATTAGGATGGTGGGTACAACTATGTGTACCTTTGCAGAGGGCAATAGGAAGATGAAGGTCATCAATTGGAGTAGCGATCAAAGGCAAAGAGGGGATTGTAGGAGAAAAAGAAGAGGATACTGCATTTAGAGTAGGAGGAGCCATAGGAAACATGGGCCGAAGAGAAGCAAGCACGAGTAACGACTCCAAAGAGAGTGGACAGGAGGGAAGAGAAGGAGGGTCCACAAGAACCACTAAGGGAGGGAACCTAGGTGGAGGAGACATAGTGGCTCTAGGAGGAAGAGGAGTCAAAATAGGAGAGGAAAAAGGAGACTCCTCATGGAAAGTGACGTTGGCCGAGGTCACATAATGATAGGTATCAGAGAAGTAAACCTGATAGCCCTTTTACAAGAGTAACTGACAAAGACCTTTTTAAGAGCACTAGGGGTGAGTTTAGAAAGAAAAGGAGATGAATCTTAGATGAAGGCGGTGCATCCAAAAACCCGAGGAGGAAGAGAAAAAAGAGGAGAATCAAAAATTAAGCGATGGAGAGGAATGACCCCCCAAGAGGAGTGGAGGGAAGTTGATTTTAGAGGTAAGTGGCAGTTAGAAAGGCGTCAGCCCAAAGATAGTGAGGGACATTCATCTCAAGAAGAAGTGTACGAGTGATGTCAAGGAGCTAGCGATGTTTGTGCTTGGCAACATCATTTTACTACAAAGTGTGAGGACAAGTTGTCTAGTAGAGAATTTCATGATTATTGTAGAAGGTGCAAAGAGATGTTTGGACAAACTCAAGAGCATTATCAATACAAAGAATCTTGAACATAATTGTGTATTGAGTGATAACTTCGGTGATGAAGTGGATAACCATGGTGACGACCTTAGAGCGATCGTGAAGAAGGTAGATCCAACTTATAGGAATATAATTATTAATAAAAATGATGTAATAACGATGGCCCAAAATGAAGGAAGTACAAGATGGACCCCATACATTCAAAGGAATGGAAGAGAGGATGCCATCACGACTAGGATAAGAAGCACATTGATGTTTCCCTAGCTGATAAGACTCGCACACAAACTTAGAGAGAGAAAGTAATGATATATTTTTTTTGTAATTTAGAGAAATAAATATGGCCTAAATGTTGATGCCACAAAAGAAAAGTAGCCATAGAGGTGACAAAAAAGGCCCGAAGGCCAGATGAGGGTTTGTCAAAAATGAGTTCATAGACACTTCACCCGTTTTCATGGCCCATACTAATCCTTCGTTTGATATGCAAATCTTGGAAAGTATAGTGAAAGGAAATGTGACTATACAAAAGAAGGCATGAGTAATAACACTGATGGAAAGAAGGTTCGTAGAAAAACTAGAAATGTAGAGAACTTAGGTAAGGTGAAGGGAGGGAGAAATCGAGGTGACACAATGACCTTTGACCAAACAAGTCTAACCATCGATAATAGTGACAGAGGAATGGGTCGAGGTAAGCTGATAGGAGGAGAGAATAGTGAGAATACTGATCATGTGGCTAGAGGCCCCCAAATCAATAATCTACGGTGTCGAAGAGGAAGCAAGGAGAGCGTGTGTACCTAGCGTGGAGGAGGCCAGAAGTGAGGTGAGACTAGTAGAGGTGGAAGCGTCAGTATCATTGGCATGGCAAAGGATGTCACACTCTACAAGTGTCAAGGTCACGTGGAAGGTAGGAGCTGGAACATGGGATAGAGTGGAGGACGCTAGAGTTGAAGTTATTGTCAACTATGCAGAAGTAGGCTTGTCGAACTATTTCCAACACTTAGTAGTCGGATGATTCTACTTCCCACAATATGACTTTATGATTCTAGACTCATTATTTCTAAGAAAATTGAAGTCTAAATAGACAAGTGATAAGTTTTCATTATTATGAGTTAATAATTAGTAAATAATATAGTTTTAGCCTTAACTCATGATAAATAGACTTATATTTGTGTTAAAGTGTGAAAAGTAGTTTTTAGTTGATTAATGTGAATTTTTGGTTAATTATGTGATTTTTTAGAAATTTATATAATTTTTATAGTTTTATTTTTGAGATAGATGAAAAAAAAGAAATAAAAATAAAAATATAGCAAAATGGGGGGGGACTCGTCAGCCAACCGGGCCCACAAGTAGGTCGGAAGCGCAGTCGGGGAGGAGCCTCGAGCAGGGGCTCAAGTAGCTAGGACCGATGAGGGCACGTGTGTGTCACTCCCCTTCCACGTCACTGGTAGCCAGCCGGCTGTGGGGCAAGGAGTGGTCGTACACGTAGGAGAAAGGGACTCATTGCTTGGGTAATATTACTATATATTCGTCCAAAACTTTGGTACATAAGCAATGTGGGACTAAACCCGCGTCACACCTTCCCCTTGAAAGGGTTTAAAGATTTTAATACCTAAAATACTCCTTATTTATAATAGAGATATATCATGATGACGTCACTTGATAAGGGCATTAGAGTACTTATTTCAATCTGTCTCATGCAGGCGGGCAACTGACGTGGGTTCGAATCTTCTTAGAGCCAAAACTTGTATTTTTATCTAATTATTCGTGACTTTTCTACAGATCATCAGTGAAGGATTAAGCTATTAGAATCGTTGGATCATTGGCGAAAATCTCGTCAACGCGATTTGCAAAGCATTGTTACTAAAATTACTAAATAATTCGCGATAAAAAGATCGTGAATCCATCGAGTAAACGATCTCCGATTGATCGACGAACAAGCCATCGTCAAGAAGAAGACGATTCGCTGGGAGACGAGTCGCTACCTCCTGAGAGCGTACCGGATGCGATGAAGAGCCTTCTCTTGCTGCGTAGACCTAAGGATGAAGCTCCCTAACACGTGCCCCACCTCCATCTAGCTTCTCTCTGTCGGGTGACAATCGTCGGAGAGCCACAAAGTCGTCGATTTTCCACTCCATCGGGTGACAACCACTGGAGACGATTCGGCGACTCATTTCATTGATATCTAGACTTCGCAAGGAGATCTAGAGATTGCCCACATCGTCCTTGTCCAAGGAGAGCCTTCGAGGCCATGGACATTGCATGATGATCCTTCCAAATGCTTAGGATTCCAGTACATCGTTGACGCATTACTACCGCGATGTTGGAACTCTATTTTCCTACTTTCAACTTAATTTTTATTTCATTTAGTCATAATTTGTGTGATTTAAATTTATCAAGCTATACTTAATTTAATCACGATTCTTCCGGCTTTTACAAATCTTAATTTGATCAATTAAATCATTTGTAATCATTTACGTAAGAATTGTCAGGTAGATCGGGCCTTGACATCATCCTAACGTCTGCACTCTTATTTCTCTTTTTTGTGAATCTTAAATATGTTTCATTTTCATTTCCTAGTATAAAATTCATAGAAAATCGTATTCTTTGAAGAAATTCTGGATAATTGTCCGATATTGTATTACATCCCTATGATTGACTTGGAAAATTACCACTATTTTTGGAAGTTTTGTTGAATTATAATTGATATTTTTTTAGAAATACTTCTAAATATCTGAAAATTAGTATTTTCTAATTTTTTAAATTTTAAATTTGCATGATTTACTATACAACGACTAAGTCACGTCAAATTTTGGTGCCGTTGCCAGGGATGTATTACATAATATTTAGTATTTTTCTGTTTTTCTCTTAGAGTAAAAAAATTAACTCATGTTTTATTTTCTTCTTGCCAAAAAATTTTGAAAAAGAAAAAAGAAATGAAGAGAAGCAAGGCAAGGTCTGAATCATACACAAGGAGGGTAACAATTACTAAACTTTTTTCTTGAATTTATTGATTTTTTATGCATGGTAGAAGATCCTTACATCCAAGGCTACAAATTTTTTCATTATTTCATTCAAAACTAAAAAAAATTGAAAGAAAAATTAATTTTGATGAATCCTAAAGGAAGTATAAGTCAAACTGAGAACAATCTTATGGCCATGGAAAATCATTATATCCTTGATTCATTTCAAAAAACATCTAATATTAGAGTCCCATTAGCACCCACTATTAAAATCAAAATAAATCTAGAAAAGTTTCAAATGCTCCCTAATTTTCATGAATTGCCTTTAGAGGAACGTCATCAGCACTTAGAAAAATTTCATATGGTCTGTCATTTAGTTAATCTCCCTCATGTTACACCAAAAATTATTAAGATGTAATTGTTTCCTCATACACCTAGGGACAAAGCTAGTTATTGGCTATCCACATTAGATAGAGAATTAACTAACTAGAAAGACATAGAACAAGCCTTTCTTCGATAATTTTATCTCTTAGGAAAAACTTAAAATATGAGAAAACATATATGGAGTTTTTCTCAAAGACCAGGAGAAACTTTATATGAGACATGAGAAAAATTCAAAGATTTACTTAGAAAGTGTCCTTATCATGCTACACCCAAGCGGCAGCTCAATAGAATTTTTTATGATGGATTATTAGAACAACATAGAAATATGATTGATTATATATGTGGAGGAGCTTTTATGGAGAAAACTCCTAATGAGATTTACAGTCTTTATGAGAATTTAAGTGAAAATTCTAGAGATCAAGCCTCTTTTGAATTATATGATAAGGATAAGAAGAGAGGAATTTATCAATTGCATCATCAAAATAATTCTAATTTATAAAATGTGGTTAATCAGATTAATCAAAGATTAAAAAAACTTGATTTACTTATTGACAATATTTGAAAGCCTCTTAACCCTCAATTTAATTCAAATTGTACATGTCTTATGTATAGTGAAAATAATTATTTTGACTTTCAATGCTATAATTTAGATCAATCATTTTACCCTATGCAAGAACAAGTACAAGTAGCTCATGGTTTTAATAGAAATAAGGAGCCTTTTTCAAATTCTTATAATCCTAATTGGAGGAATAATTTTTTTTAGAGAGATCTAAATAATATTTTAAATTCAGAAGCACTTAGACCCAATTCAAACTTTGAATTTCGTCCAAAATAGGAAAACAGATTTCAAAAAAATCAACGCTCTCAAACCCAACTTGATACTATGGAAATGATGTAACAAATGAGCCAAATGATGTAGCAAATTATAAATTAAATGATATTGCAGCAGAAATAAATTATAGAGGCTCTTGAGAATAAGAGAGAAGAGAGACAACTACCTTGTTAGCCCATAGAAAATCTAGGGAACCACCCAACATTAAGATTTTAGTAAGGAGAGTCTAGTAGCATGAATCTAAGAAAAAAACCCACAAAATGAAAATGTTAGGACAGTGAATACATTAAGGAGTGGTAAAATTTTACCTGATCCTTATCCCCAAACATTAGAAGAAAAGGAAAACGTGGACAGCCCAAAACAAAATCAAATAGGAGTAGAAGAGGATTTTATAGATTCTACCAAAGAAATTTTGAAAGAGAGGACAACCATTCCATTTCCTAAAGCTCTAGAGTCTAGACAAAGAAAGAAAAAGGAACACAATGAAGAAATAAGGAAAATTTTACAAGATGTGCAAATTAGTCTTCTTTTACTCACTATCATTAAACATATTTCTGAATATGCTAGAGTACTTATGTCAATCTCTCTCATACAAGCGAGCAACCGATGTAGGTTTGAATCTTCCTAGAGTCAAAACTCATATTTTTATCTGATTATCATGACTTTTCTGTAGATCGTTGGTGAAGGATTAAGCTGCCAGAATCGCTAGATCATCAGCAAAAATTTCATCAACGTGATTTGCAAAGCATTGTTACTAAAATTACTAAATGATTCGCGATAAAAGGATCACAAATTCATTGAGTAAATGATCTCCGATTGATCGATGAATAAGCCATCGTCGGGACGAAGACGATCTATTGGGAGACGAGTCGCCACCTCCTGAGAGTGTACCGGATGTGATGAAGAGCCTTCTCTTCCTGCACAGACTTGAGGATGAAGCTCCCTAACATGTGCCCCACCTCCATTCAGCTCCTGTCTATCGGGTGACAGCCGCCGAAGAGCTACAAAGTCGTTGATTTTTCACTCCGTCAAGTGATAGCCTCTCGAGACGATTCGATGAGCCATTTCATTGATCGCTAGACTTCACAAGGAGATCTAGAGATTGCCCACGTCGTCTTTGTCCAAGGAGAGCCTTTGAGGCCATAGACACTACATGACGATCCTCTTGAATGCTTAGGATTTCGGTGCATCGCAAACGCATCACCGTCGTGACACCGAAACTCTATTTTCCTACTTTCAACTTAATTTTGACTTCATTTAGTGATAATTTATGTGATTTAAATTTACCAAGCTATACTTCATTCAATCACGATTCTTCTAACTTTTACAAATCTTAATTTGATCAATTAAATCGTCTGTAATTGTTTACGTAAGAATCGTCGGGCAGAACTCTATTTCCACCTAATTCGCATTTGTCGGGCATTGACGTCATCTTGACGTCCGCACCTTTATTTCTCTTTTTCGTGAATCTTAAATATATTTCATTTTCTAGTATAAAATTTACAGAAAACCGTATTCTTTGAAACAAATTCTGAATAATTATTTGATATTGTATTACATCTCTGTGATTGACTTGGAAAATTACCACTATTTTTGAAAGTTTTGTTAAATTATAATTAATATATATTTTTAGAAATACTTTTAAATATCGGAAAATTAGTATTTTCTAGTTTTTTAAATTTTAAATTTACATGATATATTATACAACGACTAAGTCACGTCAACAAATCCATATATTGTGAAGGAAATTTATGATCATGGTGCTAATGTTATTAAAGATCCTATAGATGGTAGAGAATTTAAGGTAAATGGCCAAAGATTAAAGATTTATTTGGAGAATAAAAAATTAGGAGCCAAAGAATCTATTTTGTTATTAGATCCAAAATAACAACATGTATTTATATACGTTTACTTATTTTTAGTTTTTAGTTAGTATTTCTTTGCTCTTATTATTTTACTTTCTAATAAATGCAGCAAAAAATTATGGAAGAAAAGGGATGCACGTGGGTGATCGAAAAATATAATTTTAATGAAAAATAAATAGATGATTGAATCAAGAGGTGCAGATGCTACCACTCTAACCTTACCCATTTAAATTTTTATTTTCTGATTTTTTCTTTCTTTGATATATATGATTTCTAAAATTTCATAAATATTTAAATGGTTAGACTTTTTTACATCATTGGGGATAATGCTGATTTTAGTTAGGGGGTGGAGAGTGAAAATTGAGAAAACTTTGAAATTGTAGAATTTATTTTTTATTATTTTTTGAAAATTAGAAATTGTATTCATAAGAAGTAAGAAAATATATCAAACATGAATAGATGAAAGAAATTTCACATATCATGGATGAAACCTAAAGTGAAGGAAACCCAAATCTGATTATTTTTGTTTTTGTGAATTTTGCATTACATTAAATAGCCAAATATTATAGAGGAAGTATGTTGAAGGGAATTGGGCTAAGATAAATTAGAAGTCTTGATCTAAAGTGTTCAACTATCCATAAAGTACACCAAATGATCATGAAACTGAAGTTACCATTTTTCTCACAGCTTAAAAATTTGTATACTAAGTATTATGATGCAAAGAAATTATGGAAGTAGTCACTTTGAGCAGAAATTGGGTGTGTCAATAGGAGGAAAAAATCAAACTCTATGAATTCCAATGATTTATATTTTCAGACAGAGTGTAATCCCCATAAAAAAAAATTAAAAATTAAAATAAAAAAAAGAAAAGAAATGGGGTCTTCCCAATTGTCCTGTGGAGCTTCCACATGTGTAATTTGGACAGAAAAAAAGAAAAAAAAAGGGGAAAGCTACATGCATGTTATTGTTTAGATAAGGGATTCAATATATTCATATATCTAAGTATTGACATTCCTGATTGATGTTAAAAGTGATTATCAAATGAGATCTAAGCTAATTACAAATTGATGGATGTGAGAATGTGCAAAAGAAGAGAAGTGAGAATTTTTGTGGAATCTTTAGGGATAGTTTGAACATGAAAGATTAATTTTCTTTCTGATTCTTATCGTATAAACCTTAGATATACAGATTTTATAGTAATTTAGTTTAGATTTTGTAATGAGGAATTTTGAAATTTCAAAAATATGAAGAAGAGGACTTAGATTC